CTGGCCTGAGTGCCCTCGTGGCTTGGGTCGCCTCGGCGCCATGTGGCCTCTGGCGCTGCGTGCACACCTTCACGCCGGTTTTTTTTTTTTTTGTTTTTTGGTTTGCTGGCCCCTGCCTACCCCAGCACGGCCTGCTGCTCGGCAGCCTGCCACGCAGGCCCCCCCCCAGCCGCCACCCCGCTGCTGCTGCCGGCCCCCGCCCCCGGCGCCACCCCGCCGCCGCCTCGCCCCACTCTGAGCGGGCCTGGCTTCTGTTTCCCTCCTGCCACCCCTGGGCGATCCTCCTCATTCGCATTCGTATGCCCTACCAATGCTCTTCTGCCAGCGCCGTCACTCTGCCTGGCCTCTGACGCAGAAACATGTTTGTGTAGATGTATGTGTACGTGGATGTATATAAATGCATATATATATATATATACATACATACATATACATATACATAAACATAAACATAAACATAAATATAAACATATATATATGTATATATACAAATACATATACATATACATATATATATATACATATACATATATATATACATATATATATACATATACATATACATATACATATACATATACATAATACATATACATATACATATTCATATACATATACATATACAAATACATATACAAATGCAAATACAAATACAAATACAAATACATGTATATATACATATACATATACATATACATGTACACATACATATACATATACACAAACATATACCTATACATATACATATACATATACATATGCATATGCATATACATATACATATACATATACATGTATATATACATATACATATACATATACATAAACATATACATATACATATACATATACACATACACATACACATGCACATACAAACATGCATGCATACATATGTAGATACATACATATATATATACATATACATATACATACAGACATACATACATACATACACACGCCTCTTTCGCCAGCGCTGTGACTCTGCCTAGCCGCCGCAAAAGTATGTATGCATGTATGCAGGTATGTATGTGTGCATGCATGTATGCATGCATGTATGCATGCATGTGTTTATATGTCTGAGACTCCGAATGTGTGTATGTATGAGTACATGTATGTTTGAACGTGTGTCTGTGTCTATGGATGTATGTATGTACGTATGTATGTATGTATGGATGGATGGATGGATGGATGTATGTGTGTAGATGTGTATGTGTGTATGTGTGTATGTGTATGTGTGTGTTTGTATCTGTATATGTATGTATGTATGTAGGTAGGTAGGTATGTATGTATGCATGTGTGTATGTAGGTATACTTGTACGTATGTATGTATGAGTGCAAGTAGACTGTATGCATGTGTATGTATGTATGTATGTATGTGTGTATGTATGTATGTATGTATGCATGTGTATGTATGTATGTATGTATGTATGCGTGCATGTATGTATATGTGTATGTGTATGTATGTATGTATGTATGTATGTATGTGTATGCATGCATGCCTGCCTGTATGTATGCATACATGCATGCATGGATGCACGTAGCTATGCATGTGTGCGTGTTCGTATGTGTCCATGTATGTGTGTACGCATGCGCATGTATGTGTGCGTGTGGCGTGTGTATGTGTATGCATGTATGTATGCATGCATGAATGCATCTGTGTATGTGTATATATGTAAGTATGGCTGTATGTGTATATGCATGTTTGAATGGAAGTATGGATGTATGTATATGTACGTTTGTCTGTGTATGTATGTATGTATGTATGTGTACGTATATGCAAACATGTATGCGTGTATGTATGTATGTGTGAAAAAAATGTGTGTGTGCATACGTATATGTACATATGAGACTACACGTACAGGCAGACATACGTATGTACATGCATGCATGCATACGTGCATGTATACATACATATACCTACACCCCTACATGTGTGCTGACGCTATCGATGTGCGCTTGTCTTCATTCAATCTGCACGCCGAGCTTTGCACGGAAACATCGTTCCCTGAGTAAAATTGCAGGCGACCACTGGAAGCCTCTATAGACCCCTCTATGTATCCTGCTCTCGTAGACGTTTTTCTTGTCCACGTCGTTGTCTGCTGTTGTCCGCTCTTGTGTGTTACTCAGTCGCCTAACGTGGCAGCCAGCCGACCAACGAGACATGTGCAGCATCCTTGCCTGCTGTTGCTGCGCCCGCTTTCCGCGGTAGGCTACAGCGAGCGTTCGCAACAGTACAACGACCCATGTTACCAGAACGCGCTGCACTCAGCTTCTTTCCTTGGCAAGTGGCAGGCACAGGTCCAATGCGGCAAGCTCTCCAATCCAACACAACCGCAGGCATCTGAGCAAATACACTGGCCACCTGGCACCGAAGTCTTGCCTTTCCGCAAACGACAGCGATGCGCAACAAGATTACCTGCCACGGCGCCAGTCTTCCTCGTGGGGAAAAGTATATTTGCTCTTAGATCACACGAGTTGCTGCCCTGACCGTCTTGTCCTCAGCACCTCACCACTATCAAAGCACAACGAATGACTTAGAGAACGAGGGTATGCACGAACACCAGCACTATCAATACAACAAAAGCGAGGCGCACAAGCCGCAGAGCGAAGGATCACGGATGCACCAAAACAAACCGAAACATTGGACAATATCCCTGAAAAGAAGTTCGCCAGAAGATGCCCCGAAGTTGGCCTAGGAATCAACATGCGCGCACATAGCACGCAAAATTTACACAACGGCGCGTCTGGCCATACACAAGCAATGCCCTGGAATGCCGAAGAGAACGCAACATGCCCAAAAAGGACGTAACTTGTGTCTCGACTGGCCACTTTGGTCGCGGGTACCACTCGCCGCCACGGGACACAGGCCGAAACCGAAACGAAACTAATACGCGAATGCGTCCACTGATCCGCCACTGTATCCTCCGCGGCAAGCCGGGGGAGGGTCCAAAGGCGACTTCAGCCACCCCCCCCACCCACCCACCCACCCCGGCGGGCCAACACTGCAACAAGACGCCGCAAATGCCCGAAGTCTGGCCAAGACGGCCCAAACAACCCCGGAGTGGACTCGATACGCTTTCAAAGGCCGCACCAAAGGCCCCAGATACCCTCAAAAAGCAAGCCCGTCAAAAACAGCCGCCTGCTTTCCCAGCTGTTCGGCCAAAAGCGGCCTACAACCCCCACTATGACCGAAGGCCGCCCCAAGTGCCTCAAGACGGCCGCCAAACCCGTCCAGAACATTTCAAGCGCCACCAAAGATACGAGCAGTTTCCCATTTCGCCTACGGAGTTTTAAAACAAAATTGTTGCGAGAAGCAGCAAGAGCAGAAGGAGAACGAATACTCGCCGCTTCGCGGAGGGGCATCGGAAAGAGATCAGGCAATCGAGACGCAAACGAGCAAAGGACTCCGTGCACTCGGAGAAACATGCTGTTACTACGAAGGACACCCTTCAGTGTGCCACTCGCAGAAGCGCTTCTACGTCGCAGCGAGGCAGAGGCGGTCCGCACGCGCGCGCGAGCGGTCGGGGCAACGCGAAGCGCCAATTAACGGGCGGCAGGAGGAGGAAAGGAAAGGCGAAGCGGCCGCAGGGCGGGAGGAGGAAGCCACTCGGAGAAGCACGTTTTGGTAGACGAGAGGCTTGCTGCTTGCTCGCGAGACGAGGTCGGATCTGTGACCTGTGCAGATGACGATCGCGGTAAGGCACGAATGAGACCGCAAGGCGAGCCTCACGCACCAAACAAACAGCCAGGAGAAAAATGCGCCCAGCCCAGACAGAAGAGAAGAAGAGGCGAGGACAGAGAGCAACAAAAAACACCTCCATAATAAGCACTCCGACAAAGCGAAGCCGTTTAGCAAACGCACCCAGTGAAGGATCGAACAGGGCAGGGCTGTTTTGTAAACGCCCAAAACCGTTTAGCAAACACCAATTATCGGGGCCGGGGTGATCTTTCCTCCCGCTACAGGGAGGGGAGGGCGGGAAAGAGGAGGGAAACGCAAGGCCCGTGAACTTGTTTCAAGTGTGGCCACAGGAGTTCGCACTGATAGACGCTGATATACCTCACCAGCCCAATGGGCCACAGGCGCGCAAAAGAACTGCAGAATATGTTTAGCTCGCGCGCGCAGTGCAGCCAACGCGGCCCATGAGCGCTCAAAGCAAGGCAGCCCAAGAACCATCGCCTCAAGCACCACAAAAGACTGCGAGCGCTTCAAAAGGATACCCGAGGAGGCCCCGACAGTGAAAACATGTTGGCTTTCCGTTGGTTGTTGTTCAACGATTATCAAGCTCTTGTCTTTTCGGGCGACAATCGACTGAACACGGCCCAACAAGCATTGGTGATGGTTTCCATACATATTTCCAAGAGAACGCCAGGGTCCCCGGGACGGCGTAAATTGTCCCAAAGGCGGCTCAACAGGCCCTCCCTGAGGGCCCCAGAAGCCCCAGGGGAGTCCCAAAATGGGCAATCCGACCTGATATGTCGAGCCGTCCCCGAAAAAATTGCCCTACTGACCGCCAGCTGAAACCCAACAGGCCCCCGGAGGCCAAAAAAACTCAAACGGGAAGCCCAAAGAGACCCAAGAGGCTTCAGGAGGTCAAAAAAAAACCGAACACACACACACACACACACACACACACACACACACACACACGCGCACACGCGAGAGGCCCCCCAAGAGACCCCAAAAATTCTCCAAAGGAAGAGCCTCGTCCACAACCCAGCGCGGCCCAAAAAGTGCTCCACGAAGCAAACGAGAAACAACTTGATCATCCTTTTCCTCATCCCCCTGCTCCTCCATATCCTCCTCATTTTCCTCCTCAATCTCCTCCTCATTTCCTCCTCCACGTGTCCCCTTGTTTCCCCTCCTCCTCCTCCTCTCCCCCCTCCTCAACCTACTGATGTTCCATATTGTGCTGTTCCTCTTCCTCCTCGTCGTCCTCGCCCTCGCCCACCTCTTCACCATCCTCGGAGTAGTAGTACCAATCCTAAGTTATTGGTACCCGCATTATTATGACCGTTCTCAGTGCTAATATCGGTGACCGCAGCCTTTGGCTCAAGCCTTGGCCCAAGCCTTGACTCAAGCCTCCGGCTCAAGCCGTGAGGGATAACCCCCCACCTCGAGGAGGCGCCCGACGCACCGCCTGGGCCGCGCGGCGGCCCCCCCGCGCGCGCCCCGGCGGCGCCCATCGCTTCGCGCCGCCCTCGGCTGTCATCGGCGGATTTCAGCGCCTGCGGATGGCGAACGACACCTCGTTGGTCAGGACCCCTGTTGCTTCCCCCCAGCAACACACGAGGGCAGCGACTGGGAGCTGATGGGGCAGCAATTACCTGAGCCTGAGGATGCGGCCGCGCACAGGAGCGAGACGGGACAGGAGGATGGGCAGGAAGGCCTGAGGTACGAATTTTGGGGAGCTGCCAGCAACGGGGCTGCCGCAGGCACTGTACGCCCCCTTCTGACTGACCATACCTCAACGAATGGCACCCTGAACTCCAGCCCCCCCCTCTGCCGCCAGGACCAGGCAGCCATGGGGATAGGGAGGGCGCGGCGACAGACCTGCACTTGCGGACGAGTGCTCACCGGGCGAGCGGCCCGCCCTCCGCCTCCAATCCCTCCCCCCCCACCCGCTCACAATCCGGATATACGACTCTGTGTCGCTCTGAACCCACGAGTGACCTGATGTCGAGAGACCCTCTTCGCTCCGACCCCTTCGCTCCACTCTCTCCTCCTACCACGCGCGCGCCAGCGACGTTGAGCCACCCGGTTCCCCTACAAGACGAGCAGACCTCACCTGTTCCTTCCAGGATCACTCCGGCAATGCGACTCTGTGTCGCCCTGAACCCACGGAATGCTCTGCTTGCCCCCATAGACCATCCCACTCTTCCCGTTCAGCGAGGCGCTACCTCTGGACCCAACAACCCCCCCAACCCTAACCATGCGCCCCCCCTCCCCCCGCAAACGGAACCCACATTCCCGTAGACGGGGTGGATAGCGAGGCGCACGGCTCCGATCTCCAAGCGGAGCTTGCCCCACCAACGATCGGCCCAACCACCGAAAGGCAGGACTCAACACTGGCGGCTCGGGGGGACGTGTCCAGGGTTGACACGAGCACCAACATGCCCACGGCATCGCACACCGTCGACGCAGCACACGCTATGGGGTGGGCTTGGCCCGGCTGACGCTCCAGCCCGTCGGGTACAGTACGGATCGACGAGCGACTCGGAACCCCCCTCGAGACAGAGCCAGTTGCGCAAGTCGTCATGTGGACCTGCAACAAATGAAGGTCCCAGCATCCCGCGACACAGCTTGCATGTTTGAATCCCCGCCCATTCCCGGATCTGCCCGAAGTACCGGGCAGACCCTGCCCAGGGACACGCCCCGACCCCGGCACGCACTGGAGAATGAGGGACAGCAGCGTGCTCTGGCCATGCCAGAGGCGCCTTGCCCTCACACCCGTCACCGAAGAGCACTGCGCCCTCTGCGACCAGGGACAGCCAAGGGACTTCGATCAATGGGGCCCCCTGGAGGACGAGACCGACCTGCTATGGGCCCCCAGAACCCCCCACCAAAGCGCAGCCCTCACTGACATGATGAACTGGTTTGCGAAGGGGTACCGCCGCGACCCACCACAGCATCAGGCGAACCAGGCTGGCGGCATCCCCGCCAGAACGGAGGTAGGCGCACCTGCGAGCGCACTGGGTGCAGCCGACACCACCAGGCTTCTCTGGTCCCTGAGCGGCCACGACCGCGTGATCCGGCGAGGTGGAATTGAGCCGCACCCTTACGAACTCCTTGCGGCACGATTCGCGCACCTGCACCAGGAGTGCTCACATCGCGCGCCCTGAGCCATTCGGCCGACCTCCCGCCACGCGAGCGGAACAAAGCATCGCCAACGCCCATGCACAGACCTTGGAAGAGGCAGCAGTGCAACTCTACATGGGACTGCAGCCACAGCGCGCAGGGCAGTGACTCGACCCATTCCCCCTCACAGGAGTGGAAGCAGGGCCCCCCGAGCGTACGCTAGTCAGAACGGCACTCAAATGGGAATGTAGGCGTGGCAGTATGTCCTTCCCCTCCACACGCGACATGTTGACATGGGCGCGACTCACAGCGACGGGCGCCTTCCCGGATCGAGCCGTAGATGCCATCGGCGCGTCGCCGGCGGGTTTCACTAGAGCATGTCCGGAAGTCATAGGACAGCACCTGCGGGGCTCGGGGGACGCCCCCCTCCTGGCACACGACACCTACGGGGACGGAGAATTATCGACAAGGCCAGTCACGGCGACATGGCCCACAAGAGAACCCCCCTGGTGCCGCCCCACGGCTTTCACCCGCACATACAAGCACAGTGCGGTACCTGCGGCTCCTGGAAGTTCCGAGGAGGCCCCATGGCAGGGATGCGCCCCGTCTGCATTAGGTTCAGCCAGACGAACATCCAAGAGGCCGACTACGGCCAAACCGTCCCAGTCCAGGTCAGCCCAAACGACTGGATACAACGGCTCCCCTTCGACTGTCTGGGCGACACCGCCCTCTCAGCCCTGGCGCATGCAGCACAAGCATACGCGCCGCTATGCTCACCTGGGGAGGGACAACTGATCAGCTACACCCCCTCCTGGCTGGTGGGGGAGTTGCTCCTAGCCTGGAAGTGGACGGTCGACTCGGAAGACTCTACATAGGCGAACCCTACGGCGGGCGATCACCAGCACCGGGCCGCGGCGGCGCTCTCCGCGCTATGCGGATCGAACCTTCGGTATGCCATGGATTTAGTGTACGTCATCCGAGCCCAAGCCCTGAGGAACCGTGAGGTAGCAGAGTGGCTGCCTCGAGCCATCACCACCACGCAAGAGAGACCATCCCACCCGCCATTGGCACGGACAACTGCCAAGCGCAGGGCGGCAGCCTCAACGAACTATTGGGCATGAACAGACTCGAGCATTACGGGTTCTCTGGTAGGGACGTGGACTGGATCGCCCACATGACAGGTCTCAGCAGACATTAGACCGAGTTTCCCGACGATCCCCTCTTTCTCGCGCGGCACCAATACGGGAAAAGGCATGACATTTACGAAGAGAAAGAGGTAACACTAGAAGGGATGGCGGCCCTCACAGCAGCAGCACAGCATGAGCGCCGCTACGACGTTGCCAACCTGCGACTCATGTCCCCGCTGAGCAGAGCGCCGATGCGCATGATGGTCAGACGGCTCCGCGAAGATACCGCCAGCACAAGCTCCAGGGCAGGCCAAGCGGCCGCCGCATCAGCGCATGCCGACAGAGAAGCAGTAGACGCAGGCAGCGCGGCCGCGGGTGAGCAGGCCGAACACGTGTCCCCCCTCACCCACCGTGGCCAAGGTGAGCTTGGACCCCCAGCGCACACGAACAGCACCGGGCCCGCGGCACCCATGGAAGTTGACGCAGGGCACGACACCGACCTAGCCCACGACCTGACACACGGGAGAAGCAACAAGCCGCGCATAGGCGTGGCTGGCGGGCTCACAGACCGCGCTGGTCAGCAAACGCGGACCATGCAAAACGAGGTCGCTTTCTTTAGACAGGCCATTGCACATGGCAAACTGCAGAACTACACGTGGAGCGGATACCTGGTCTTTTTCCTGCGGTTGTCAGCCGTCGAGGGCACCAGAGAGGCACTACGACGGTCGCTTCGGACCGCCGGAGTACCACTCAACGGCTTCCGGACCATGGTAGAATGGCGGGAGGGTAGAGGCGTAGCGACGAGCGGAGACGCACTCGTAATCCTGCGAAGAGAGGCACACACCCTCTCACAACGGAGCGGCCTGTACGTCCCCTCCCCCCAGGAATGGGGCTACTTACACGCACGGCTACAGGAGCACCTGATCGACCTCGCGAGCCCAGACGGATGGGCACAGGCCGACGTGATGTTAGGGCCACCAGGAGCAGGCGCACCGCCCCCCCAGGGGGAGCACGGACCGCCCGCGCCACAGGGACCCCCACAGGCCCGACAGACGGGCGACAACAGCAGCATCGCAGACCAGCGTACCCTCACCGAATCAAGCGCACGTATCCTGCCACGCCCCATCCCGCACAAGCCAGACTGGCGTACTATACTGACCATTCAAGACATCGCCAGCGCACTAGACCGCAGGGACCGCGTCGAGGATGATGCCAACGCTCCCCTCATCGCGCTGCCCGACGATGGCTCGGCGGATGGCACCGCGGCGCAAAGGTGCACAGCATGTTAAGGGATATCCCGAGCCCTGGCGCTAATCAAGGCCAATGGCTATCGGCCGTGATGCGGCTCATCCTGCGCCCCCACTACCGCTCCCTGCTGCGGCCGCTGCTGGTGAGGAGACGGATTGACGGAGGCCCCTTCGACGTGGTCGCGAGATCGCTCAGGCGAGCAGCGGCGCATTCACCAGCACAACTCGTGAGCTTCGCCACGGTGGCCACCGGCATGCCTGCGGAAGCTTTCCCTGCATACGAACCCTTCAGCGCCAGGAGCGCCGGGGGGCACCCCAAGACACCTAGCATGGCTGATGCAGGGTTACACCAGAGACGGGGAGCAGCAAGGACGTTTCGTCTACAACGAGCTCGCGGCTGCCGTGGCCAGGGCTTGCCCACCACCAGCCCCCCCCGCCCAGATGGACACCACCAGGGAGCGATGCCCGATCTGCCAGGACATCATGATCGGGAGGGTGTCCAGCATAATACCATGTGGGCACCAAGCGCACTCTCACTGCCTCGAGGACTGGAGAACGCGACAAAGAAGGAACGAGCGCCAGTGACCGCTGTGCCGCGGCGAGGATAACGGGGACACCCACCAGGTCATCGACCCACCCGCCCCAAACGGCGCCGTGCACACCTGCACAAAGGACGGAGAGCGGGAGCGTAGCCCCCACCCCCCACGCGCAGCCCAACACGACAGAAGGCCACGACAGCACGGCGGAGGACGGCGACGGGCGGGAAGGGGGCACCCTTCTACCTCCAGCAGCGGAGGCCGAAACACAATGGGCAACCTGCGTCCTAGAAGGAGTCCTACGATTTCGACCTAACGGCACCGCCGGCCCTCGGCCCCAGACACACTCCCACGAGGATGTGGACAGGCTACGGCGCACGATACGATGGCAGCGCGAGTTCACGCAACGGCAGGCCGCCCTGGCCGCCTGCCCCCCCGAGCCCCAGGCGACATCAGGGAGAAACCCCGAATTGCATGAGCCACCAAGCGAAGGGACGCAGTCCAACAGAGCAGCACCCAGTCATCCGGAGACCGAACCCCCAGCGAAAGAGCACGACTGGAGCAGCGACCCCTGGTCACACACGAACGGCGGTGCAACATGGTAGTCAGAGTTAACACAGTTAGCCGAAGACGCACGAGAGGGCCAGTCTACACGCCCACGTCCATAGTCGCAGCAGCGATTCCAGAATTACGAGCATCCATCGTGGTACGTCCGCGTGCGCTGGTCAAAATCAGGCCCATCGACATCACAGCAGCGACATTCACCTGCCCCAACGAGGCCGGACATGACGAAGTGAAAGAGATCCTGGACCACTCAGGAAAAGCTAGCGAGGACCCAGAGGCACAAATCCTGCCCCCGCCTCCCGATATCATGGCAGTCGACACAAACGCCTCTCAAGTGGACGCCATGGTTGGCCTTATACAGCTCGAGGCTGTCCCCTGTCACTTGGTTGTCCTCGGACACGAGAAGTTTACGACACCAGGAGGCCCAGACCCGATCGGGACGACGGCCGCCGCACATACGCTCTGGGGACACCGAGCACTCAGCAGAGCCAACCATCTGGTGCCAGTCGGACGACCGCTAGCAAAGCACCGCGGCCCCATACAGTTTCTTGCCGTGCAAATTAAAATTCCTGGCCAGGCCCACGCGCTTACAGCACGCTCCCAGTGCAGTGGTGCACTGGGGAAACGGCAGCGCCGACCAAAGGGACACCCTTCAGATGCTTACCCCTGACTCCGGCAACGAGCACGTCGTCGCCCTCATAACGCGAGCGCAACGGGACTTAGAGGCACGTGGGCACCAGCTCGAATGGGCCACCAACTCGGGCGCAACCCAGAGTTTCTTCAAAAAGGGATAGAGCCACTGGCCCATCACGCCATCAAGATGTGCATGATGAACTCCAGAACTGCCGACGCTCACCGCTTTATCGCGGGCATACAGGCGGCGGCCCAACAGCTGGCACCCTCCGACATCCCTACTACAGTATGGAGACAGCACGACACCGCGGACGTCGTCCATACCCCTCTACGGCGGGGCAGCCTCTGTCTCGCCTACCCCATCGCCGCGCAGGCCGCAGCGGCCCTGCGCTGAGCAGACCATGGAGGCAGCCCACGGGGCCACCGGCCTCCTAACCCTAAACGGACAGCACATCCGCGGCTTCACGGCTACACACGCCAGGGAACCAGCGAAGCGCAACCCCGGCACTGCCAGTGCACTAGACGACCACGTGAGAGAAGCAGCCCGACCAGGCGCGGCTGCCGCCAGGCGGGCGGCGGAGCACCCGCAGGTCGTCACCACTGCCAGAATGGGCCTCCACGGTGTACAGGCTGGAGGGACCGAAATACGGCACCTGTACCCGGAGCCCTGGCTACCCGCACACCGGCACCTACCTCTAGTGGGCACGACAGTAGGGCATGGTACGCGCCGCCTCCTGATCAGACCCTGGCCCGCCCCGGCCACCGACCCAGACGCGGCCCTCGTAGACATGCTCCCAAGGAGCGGGCCTCCCGCCCTTACCACAGACTGGGTCGACGATCACATCGGCCCGATGCGCGCGATCGCCCCCACAGAACACCCCACGGCTGCTCGAACAAGGGCAACAGGGCGGAACACGTGACGTCGACGCCCGCATTGAGCCAGGCGAATACATCATCATGCCTCCGGCGGGCACGCGGTGGTACAAGCCGCCGGAGAGACGACCAACTACATGCCCACACTACCCTGCTGGTGTACCATCGGCCTCCCAGCGACGGCGGATACCACAGCCGCCATACACGGATACGCCCCTCCGGTGCACATCCAGGCCGAGGCTGTGGTCGGCGATGTCTGGAATGCACGGAGAACGTACGATCACCCACCCCCGCCCACGCCAGAATCCTTGGGGCTAGCCGCCCCAAACCCCCCACGGGCGACCCGAACAAGGCACGCGGCCCCCACCCCACGACCAGGACCAGCCAGGCCCGCACAATATCCCCGCATGCGGGACGTGATACTTCGACGAGCGCAGGACGACCCACCTCCAGAGGGTGGGCTGGTAGAAGCATGCCCCGATGCCCTGAGGGCGGCAGTGCTCGCGCTTGGGATGTTCGCCGATGTACTGCCGACGCATAGGATACGCGCCCTGGCCAACTGGATCGAGGCGAGGATGAGGATAGAAGCCGACCGATCGCTGGCAGGCCGGCCAATCACGGACTTCAGGCACGCCATGAGCATCGTATGCTGGCTGATCCAGCACATTCAAGCAGCCACCCAGAACCGTGACCACTTCGACCAACTGCCTGGACCACAGAACCACCGAACGCGGACTTCGACGGGCACAACCCCTACTTAACGATCCCAGGGGCGCGCGACGCCCGGTCCCCGGACGAGGGGCTCACATCCCACAGCATGGCAGATGGCGCCAATCACGCCCTCGAGCGTCTGTGAGAGCGGGTCTACCACCAGCACCTCTCAGATAGGCAACGCGGAGGGCCAGGAAGAAACACGAGAGGCGGTAAACCGGGATGCGGAGCAGAGGGAATGGAGCCAGACGACCCCACGCAAGTGGACGCGAGCGCGCTCCTCAACCCACGAACCTCCACTGCGCCAGCCCTTACCCCAACCGCCCATACCGGCGGCCAGCCGCCCAATCCAGGTGCAGCCACCAAAGCGGGAACGAATGAAGGATCAACCCCCCGACAACAGGCGCGTGCGCGGCGCACGACACGACAGCATGAAACATGCGCAGCGGCCACCCACGCAACAGGCGGACAGAATGCCGCGGACGCCACACCCCCAGGTACCAATAGCCCCGCCCACGGCCCAGACCACGGCGTGACGATGCCAGTCGACCATTACGACACGAGGACGACAGCCCACGCCGAGACTGGACAGCCGCAAACCAGGGGCACAGAGAGGAGTCGCACCCCAGTGGCCCGCCCGAACGATCACCCCCCCCCCCATACGGGAGCCCGACGCCTGTGGCGGAGAAGGTGCACAACCGCATACAGCGCATGGCAGCGAAGCCCCCCTCCGCTGCCGACGGCAGGAGCGGCACAGGGGCTGGCGGAAGGAGCTGACCCGACTGACCCAGTTTGCAGGGGCGCGCCCGGACCAGGCCCTGACCTGCACCCATCACTTGAGGCCGACTGGGAGAGACTCACTTGCCACGCAGTTCACACCCTCACAGCGCTCTTCAACGGCCGCCACGATAATCAGACGACCATCACCACTGGTGCCGAAAACAGAGGGCAAGGAGGACCGTGGAATGACCTGCTTACATGGCTGATATGGGCAGCGTCCAAAGAAGTACTACGCACACGCGCGAGGTGCACATGAAACAACCACAGACTCAGCTCAATTGCACTTGACGCGCTCGAAGCTTTTTGGAACACCGCATGCTTGCCGGCTCCCCACCGCGCTTTCGGATTCCCAGCCCAGTTTCCACGCCGGAGTCAACGGCACTCTAGCAATGGACTCCCCCTGCCTTCGACTACGGCAGCGAGCAAGGCAGCCAGGCTGCCAAGTGCCGGCGCAACCAATGGATCCGCTGCACCTCGTGGTGCCTTGGCCTGCTGTCACAGAGCCAGGTGACGGCAGCGCCACAGACCACGCAAACCCAGGGACGGCTGACAGCCGGAGCCAGCAGCAAGCACAACCCTAGCCCCCCACCAGCGACGGAGACGAGAAAGCATGGAATGCACAGCACAGCGCCGAGCCCACCGGTGCCAGACAACAGGCAACGAGAGACGAGCACGAGGAGCGGCCCAGCACAACCCCCGAAACGAGAGGAGCAAGGCACAACTAGAGCGAAGAAATCAAGCGGAGCCGCTCAGATCGCGCAAAATACCTTAGATTCTCCGCGCGGCAGTCCTCTGGCGCAAGACCAAGCGGAACGTCACGCTCAGGTCAACTCGGACGTGAGGAGGCAAAGATCAGGATCCATCGACTCCTGAAGCCGTCGGCGTCCTATTGCGGACGCAGGCGCCTTCAACGCGCTAGAAGGGCACCGGATGGCCCCATCCACCACCTCGCCGACGGGAGTCACCGCACCTAGGCCCCCGCGCAGCCCTGGCATGCCTGACCCACCTCCGCCCCGTAAGAATATAACAGGCTCACGCTGACAGCCAACCAAGCCCCATGTGGCGGCACCGCCGCGCCCAGGAGGCCTCGACAGGGAGGCAGCACCAGCGCGCCAGCGGCGATGCCACGACAGGGGCGAAAAGCTAGAACTGGCGCCGATCCGGACACGTCAGTCACCCCTCAAGAGGTGCGCGACTGGCGCCGGCGGTAACGTCAACCTGGTTTTTTGCGGTCTTTGCGGTCGACTGCGCGGGCCGTCTGGCCCAGTCGCAAGCAAGAAACGGGCGACATACAGGTGGGCCAAACCGCCCACCACAGCGAATGCGGCAGACAGGGAGCGAAGCTCTTATTCAGAACAAGTGACAGTCAAGCGAAGCTCTTATTCGACACACGTGCATGCATGAGAACACACAAGTATGAAGAAAACAACGCAATCACAAGTCACAAAAGTTCGAACTCAAAGAATGTATGAACAACCCGTGGGAGAACATCAATGATATGTTCAATCGCCGACATTTCGGTATCAGTAACTGTGGCATTGTTGTCGATAGAGAAAGCAGCACTGTACACCTCTGACCACACAATATCTCTGGAGCTCGGCTTACGACAAGTCCGCGAGACACGACCGACATCAATCCAGCAACCGACTCCGACACCAGCCGTCGACACACCGCCATCGAAGCCACAGTCGATGCCACAATACCTGTAAAGACTCGAAATCTCATTGGGTTCCTGCCCTATACGATCCTGAAATATGTCGATGCCCTCACGGGCAGTATGAGTGAGCACGTCCGCCCTTGTATTCCATTCCCTGAAGCAGTGTTCGATCAGATCTCGTCCAGGCGCAAATGGGCGTATATGAAACATAAAAGACATACCATCCAGACGCTTAATTATCCTGTCAACTTTTCTCTGGAAATCTTTGTTAATCACTTGCCAGTACCCCTGGCACCATGATACAACCAAGAGACTATCTCCATGGATACTAATGGGGAATCCGAAGGCTTCAAGATCCCACTCGGTAGTTTCCCATGTGGATGTGTGTACAGCAAGCCGTTTAGCAAGACGATCATTGGCAAGTTGTGATCCCTCCTCAACTCCATACTCCCAAAGTTCCTGTTGTGTTTGAATATGGACCTCATCAGCAAACCGAGGATAACTAGGAGCTTTAGCACAAATCTGGAAACAATCAAGCAAATCCCGTGAACACACGTGTGCGGCGAACTGCTCAAAGGTCCCAGGCGTAGCACGGAATCCTTCCCACCACTTGGGGCCGAAGAACTCAGAAAACGCGTGGGTCCAATGTCGCTGTCCGATTGCCAAGCCCCCTCCTCTTTGGCGTTTCATTTGGCTGGATTCCCGAAAGCAGAAATTCATGCGCAGGGACTCAGAAGCATCCGTACGTATACGATCCCACATCACACCATATGCACACAAGCACGCACGTACATCACGCCAAGTTCGATCAGCACTCCTCCACTCATCATATATATCCACATCGAGCACATGGATAAACTCACACATGTCTTTGGCCAGGATCCAGGAAACACGAGGAAACCTCTGCACCAAGGAAGCGAACCCCGTCTCCTGAAATTTCCTCCTAGCCTCCGCATACCTCCACCGACTCCAAATGGAAACATCCTCCTCAGGTCCCCTGGGACAAGTGAACATTTTGCAGAGACAGAATCCTTCGAAGGAGTGCATACGCTGGAGAGAGTGGTTATCGAGCGTCATACCCTCAATACCGTACATGGCAATCCCCTGTACCTTCTCCTGATACCTCCAGAACTTGTCACGAATACTCACCGCTGAACATCGAAAATAGTTCGACATGCCAAAAAAACTCTTACGTGCCATGGAAAAACGAAAATCGACCTCGGAATGAGTGGGAGCGTTGAACTCAGATTGGATATCAACGCCGAGCACATTCATCGAAGAAACTCTTCTGAAACGCAAACCCTCAGGTGTGACAACAATGAGGTCTTTCTCAGGTACAATAACACCATCAGCATTACAGCGAGGTGCGAGCCCACAGGTCATGAAGAGCAACGATGACGCCTTCCACGCCATGCCGAAAGAAAAGAGTGGTAGAGATAGATCGTGAATCATGCTCCTGAGATCTGCAGCCGAGCCGGCTACAAGATAGACATTATCAGCCCAGAGGAAGTGGCTGATGAGGAGCTCCTTACGCATGGACCCGTAAGAGTCCTTCGACACGGTAGCCCATTCCCTTCACATCCCAAGATCTGAAGACCTCGGCCCACATCGCCACGATAATCAAGTTGAACACCAGGGGCCCCTCAGGGCACCCAGTACGTATGCACCTATCCCAATGGAGCCCAGGAATTTCCATTCCTCCCACGATCACAGTACCTATGGTTCCACATAACGGGGCCAATAGAGCATATTGAAGGTATGGAGGTACGTGTGCACGTTGTAAACCTTTTCTCACATTAGCTAAACTACAATGATCGAACGCTTGTTTGATGTCCGCATTCACGATGTACACACTCTCATTCTTACCCCACGTATCCCCGTGTTGAGCCAGTGTTTTAAACTGCTAGTAATCTCCCAAATCTTACGTGCCTCCTGGAACCCATAGATGCCCAAGTTATGGAATATCCCAGAAAGCTGAGCAAAATTCTCAATAAGGATAACCACACAGGCCGAGCACCAACGAGAAATTGCATTTTGCATAACAAGGTAACGACCCTCAGACAACGCCGTAAGACAAGGTACCCTGGGCATGAACGAAATCAATACCTCCGGGGACCTCGTATAGCTCCTCGTACAATCGAGAGCGTTCGGAAAAGAAGCAGAGGGCTTCTGGAAGCACTTCTCCAAAAAAATGTTTTTTTCATGTCGACATGAAGTTGGCTCCCCGGAGTGGTTTGAGAGTGAAAGTGCGCCTACGGAGCTCATACTAAGACGCAGAGGCCCTCGTAGTCTTTTACAGGTGCGAAAATACTGATATCTCAAAATAAATGGTTAAATATATTTCAAGTCTTAGCGAAACCAGCTCAAAAGTGTCACATTGTCCGTCCGAGTCGGGTCGGCCAACTGGGAGCCGGCGGTAAGCCGTCAACCTTGGTTACCGCCGGGAACTCGTAGAGCTTCCTCGTGCAATGCGAGCGCGGCAATCTCGCATTGCGCGCGCGAGTTGGCGCGGTCTCATGGGGGAGGACGTGGAGGAGAAGAAGGAGCGAGAGGAAAGCATCTCTGGAAACTATATCTATATATATAATTTGTTTAACAACAAAAAAAAACACACAAAAAAAAAAAAAACACGAGTTCAGGCGTCTGGACACTTTGAGCTGGCGCACCTGTTGATTTCCTTCCGATTGCTGCGCCGAACAGCGTAAAGCAAACCATCACCATCTCGAAAAAAATAGCAGAGTACGAATAGTTCTTCGGTCCCAGCGCTGATAGCAGACAGAGTTCAGGCGTCTAGATATTTTAAATTAGTGCGCCTGAATATGTTATCCGATTGCTGCGCCGAACAGCTCTGTAGCTCATCTGCAGCTCGATTAAAAGTCCTGAAAATCATCGCCATCTCCCCCCAACAAAAAAGCAGAGTACGAATAGTTTTTCGGCTTCAGCGCTGATAGCAGACCGAGTCCAGGTGTCTAGCAGCGCGCCTGCTGATTGCCTCCCGATGGCTGTGCTGAACAGCTCTGGAGCTCATCTGCAGCTCGAGTTAAGTCAAGAAGTTCATCACCATATCAAGCAACATAGCAGAGTACGGACAGCGTTTCAGCCCCAGCGCTGATAGCAGACTGATTTCAGGCGTCTAGATACTTAGAACTATCGCGCCTGATGGTTCCCTTCCGATTGGTGAGCCGAACAGCTCTGCAGCTCATCTGCAGCTCGAGTTAAGTCAAAAAAAACATCACCATTTTCAAAGAAAAAAAAAAAAAAATCGGAGAGTGCGAATAGTTTTTCGGCCCCAGTGCTGAAAGCAGACCGAGTTCGGGCGCCCAGATACTTAGACTAGCGCGCCCGATCATTGCCTTCCGATTGCTGTGCCGAAGAGCCCTTTAGCTCATCTGAGGCCCGAATTAAAAACTCATCATGCTTTCAAGCAAATTGTAGAGTACGAACAGTTTCGCGGACCTAGCTCGAGTAGCAGACCGAGTTCAGTTCAGATCCCTAGATGCTTCTGACGAACGCGTCTGATCATTCTGAATCGATTAGGTGTGCGCACCAGCTCTGTAGCTATCCTACAGCTCGAGTGAATTACAACACCCACAGCATCTGTCAAGATGACTCGAAACAGCCAATCCCGCCCACATGCTTTTTGGCAGTAATAGGCACCCGATCGAGCTGAGATTAGGACGGCGAGCGGGAATAAGATCGAATATCACGGGAAAAATTATTAGAGCTCTAACGAATTGTTGAATTTCGAGAACAGAATTTTCAAACCGAGCAAAAGTCAGCAAAAGGTCCGTCGAGACATTTTTGCCAACTAGCCCAACAGTGCTGTGGAACTGGGAGCCGGCGGTAAACCGTCAACCAGGTCACCGCCGGGGGCCTCGTAGAGCTCTTTTATTGCGCGGCACTGCTCGGAACACATGGAGGAAGCCTTCTAAAGCATGAGCTGAAAAGCTCGAAAAAAAACATGGATTTCGGTTTTTATCCAAAGTCGGTTCCGCCAAGTGTTTTGACAATAATACTGGGAGCCGGCGGTAAACCGTCAACCTTGGTTTTTTGAGTTTGAGTTTGAGTCAGGGCGCGGACAGCTGTGACAGCTGAGCCCTAAGACTCCCAAACGGAGCACAGGGTAGCTAGAGAAGGCATCTCTTATCATCACACTGCCGAGCCACTGAGGCATAGGCATCGGAATAGGATGCAGGAACAAGGAAGAGGATGCAGCACGACATGTGAAATTGCAAAGGTGTAGGAACAGGTTAGAGAAGAAAGAGGCTACCCAACCTTGGTTACCGCCGGGAACTCGTAGAGCTTCCTCGTGCAATGCGAGCGCGGCAATCTCGCATTGCGCGCGCGAGTTGGCGCGGTCTCATGGAGGAGGACGCGGAGGAGAAGAAGGAGTGAGAGGAAAGCATCTCTGGAAAAAAATTAGAGGCATACCAGACCGAGTTCAGGCGTCTGGACACTTTGGGCTGGCGCACCCGTGGATTTCCTTCCGATTGCTGCGCCGAACAGCGTAAAGCAAACCATCGCCATCTCGAAAAATGACCAGAGTACGTATAGTTCTTCGGTCCCAGCGCTGATAGCAGACAGAGTTCAGGCGTCTAGATACTTTAAACTAGCGTGCCTGAGTATATTTTTTCTGATTGCTGTGCCGAACAGCTCTGTAGCTCATCTGCAGCTCGACTGGCGCCGGCGGTGAACCGTCAACCTGGTCACCGCCGGAAACCTCGCAGAGCTCCTCCCACGCGTAAAAGTGCTCATAATCGAAGTAGAGAACTATAATGAAGATTTTCTTGAAATCTTTTTCTTTGCTAATACGAGGTCGGTTCCTGCAAGTGAACCGATAGTAATGCCCCCTCAAGAGAGCTGAGCTGATCTCAGAACAAAGTTTAGACACTAATGCTGGGAGTAAAAATCTGGTTTCTTAAAATGAATTGTTACAAATCGTTCAAATCTTAGCAAAACCGACCCAAAGATACCACACTTTCCACCCGGGCGGGGTCGACCAACTAGCTCCACCCCGCGCCGGAATTCCTCTAGCTCATCGATGCCGAAGAACTCTACGAGGTATTAAAGACCAGAACATCATCACCATCTCCAGATGAATAGCAGAGTACGAATAGTTCTACGGCTTCAGCGCTGATTGCAGACCGAGTCCTGGTCTAGTAGCGCGCCTGATGATTGCCTCCCGATTGCTGCTCGAGTTAAGTCAAGAAAATCATCACCATATCGCAAAAAATACCAGAGTACGGATAGCGTTCAAGCCCCAGCGCTGATAGCAGGCAGATTTCAGGCGTCTAGATACTTAGAACTATCGCACCTGATAATTCCCTTCCGATTGCTGAGCCGAACAGCTCTGTAGCTCATCTGCAGCTCGAGTTAAATCAAAAAAAACATCACCACCTCCAAAAAAAAATGGAGAGCACGAATAGTTGTTCGGCTCCATTGCTGATAGCAGACCGAGTTCTGGCGTCTAGATACTTGGTAGCGTACACAACCCGGAGAGCAAAGAGGCACTCACACAAAGACAGCACACGCACGCGCTTTAGCGTGCGTGGAGACGCTGGAATCCTCGCGTGACGTAGCTCTGGAGACGCTGGAGAGCTTCCCTGCGAAGCTCTGAATACTGGCGCTGGCTGTGAACCGTCAACCTGGTCACTGCCGGAAACCACGTAGAGCTCCTTGCACGCACAAGAGTGCTCAGAATCGAAGCAGAGAATTCGCAGAAGATTGTCTTGAAATCTTAGTCTTTAGATTATTCGATATGAATATGAGGTCGGTTCCGGGAAGTCAACAGATAGTGAAACTCCCTCGATGGAGCTGAGCTTCTCTGAAAACAAAGCTTATATGCAGATGCTTGGCGTAAAGATCTGCTTTCTCAAAATGAATTGTTAAATATCTTTCAAATCTTAGCAAAACCGACCCAAAGTTGTCACGAATGAATGGTTAAATATCTTTCAAATCTCAGCAAAACCGACCCAAAGTTGTCACATTGTCCGTCCGGGCCGGGTCGACCAACTAGCTCCACTCCGCGCCGGAATTCCTCTAGCTCATCGACTGGAAACTGGCGGTAAACCGTCAACCTTGGTTTTTTGAGTTTGAGTTTGAGTCAGGGCGCGGACAGCTGTGACAGCTGAGCCCTAAGACTCCCAAACGGAGCACAGGGTACCTAGAGAAGGCACCCCTTATCATCACACTGCCGAGCCACTGAGGCATAGGCACCGGAATAGGATGCAGGAACAAGGAAAAGGATGCAGCACAACATGTGAGAATGCAAAGGTGTTGGAACAGGTTAGAGAATGGTGTAAGAGCTGGTTGAAACGCTACACAAAACGTGTTCCACGGCCATACAATGCCGTTTTACTGCATTTATCAAAGCAACAGCCGATCAGCAGCATATACGTCCACAGACCGCCCTCCAACGAAGAAACCGCGGAGGCCGACTAGTTCATGTTTACGTTGTATATCCAGCGCCAGGCGCCAGTT